ATCCTAAATAACAAACTACGAACTGAAGCTGGCATTTATGTGAAAACAAATCTCGCAGTAAAGCATAATGACTTCAATTGGAAATAGGGACGTCTAATTCGTATAAGTGTATTTGTTAATTTAATATCAAAGCCTCGAATTCGCGGGAGAGCAATGCAATTGATACACACATCAAATTCAAAACATGCTGTAATTGGAATTTCGACCCGCTCACCTCTTTTTTGCAGTGCTGGTCGTTTAAGATTTATCAAATAACTCTTAAAGCACACCCCTTTTGGCAATGCATGACCGCCACTCCACAGTGTCGAGTCAGGACACAAAACATGGGGGCAGCACACAAACGTTAGTCAGTACCAGTGTTGTCAGCGTTTCTCCCAAATAACGTTATTTTATTCGATTGATACATTATTCTGATGAGTAGCCGTATTTTAGGTAGGAGAAACCGGTTCAATTAAACATTAAAAAATACAAAGCATTCATAGATACATAAATGGCTGTACCAATTACCGGTTGCAATTACATCATTCCCAGAAGCATCATTGAGACGGCGGGTGATTTCCAGTGTGGTAAGGTGAGCCCATTCGATCCAAACGAACCTGACCCCTCCAAACACCACTACCAGATGGTGGGAGCACACAACCCCAGTATTCACAGATCATTCGCCTGGGTGCGAAGTACTAACATCGCGACGCACCTCTTGCAAAGCTGCGCATAAAACACTATGCTTTCGCTTGGCTGTCCTAAGTGCAAGCAAGAAAGGTCGTGCTCAGTCTCACACTCGATATCGTGTCATCCAGCTCCAGGACTTGATTCGGCCTTTACAAAGACAAGCATATTAAAATCCGTCAACCGCGCGAAGTGAGCGATGTTCAGCAGCATATACACGATCTAACCGTTCAGCGATTTTGACCCAGCACCGACCTGCTTCCACATTTAAGATGTTTGAGCAGCAATTCAGCATAAGCAGACGTGATAATGGGTGTCAACTAACTTCTCCCACCGGTGCGAGCAGAATAAATTACCGTACGACACAATCTGATTGGCTAAAAAATATTTTTTGCAAATAGTGGTCAGGTGTTGTTAATTCTACGTTGAGACACAAAAATCATCATTCCCGTGAAACGACTCACATTGCGCATGCCAAACGTACACTTGGGGACGAAAGTATAGTTGGGGACGACAGTACAAATGGGGTCGACAGCGACAGCGACAGACAGCCAACAGTCCTCATTTCATTACTCATATTTCTTTTCTCAGGACACAGGGCTTAGCTCGCAGGAATGAACCTTCCGGCTACAAGTCGTCTGTACAGTGAAGCCCTCACTGCTGCAAAGTTTGCTGACCAGCGCCTTGAAGCCCGC